AAAGAGGGCTAAGTATCTCATTAAGAAGGATTTATGGGGGCCTCCCTGGTGGCACAGGGTTAAAGTGCAGCACTGTGAAGTTATCTTAAACCACTGCAGTGCAAGATCAACCTATGGCTAGGGAGGTGACCCACATGTACAGCAAACTGGTGTATTTCGGTAAATCTGTATCTGGTGAATCCTCTCACCCCCCACCACTGCTGGCCTGTACCCAGTACTTGTATGCATACATAAGAAAAAATCGTTAAAAAAATAAAAACGGGGCCCTTCCTGGTGGTGCAGCAAGTTAAAGCACAGCACTAAAATGCTAAAGCCACTTCAGCATGCGTTCAATCCCCACCCCGGAAGTGACCCACATGGCACCGCAGACCTCTTCTGACCCGCCCCCTGCTCCCCTCAGCAGTGTACTTTGTCAGTAGGCCTGTTCTGCCCCTGTCTCTGGTGAATCCTCTCACTGCCCCTGCACCTCTCACCTGTACCCCAATTCTGTACACATAAATAAATAAATCTTAAAAAAAATAATAAAAATAATAACAGAAAAAGAGGGAAGGATTTATATTCCATGAAAAATGTTATACTTTTTCAGTAAAGCATGGGGTATTCTTTGGTGTATTGATTAGAAAATAACAGATTTATTATTGATATATAATCTAAAGCCCTCCATTTATGGCTTTAATCTGCCTTCACAACTTTTGATTATTGTAGTATGTGGTCCTCAATCCCTTATCAGACAGAACACTAGCTCATCCCTGAACACAGTTGTAATCTCTCTTGCTGGATGAACACACTCAAAAAAATAAGCCCATTTGCCTCTGTAAAAATATACCTAGTCTTGAAAGGGAAGTGGCAAATGTTACTGGACTTGAGTTCTTGAGTTCATTGAGAAATAGAAATAATGGAGACCCTAATCCTGCAGGTATCAAGAAAGAATGTATTAAAGTTTATACAATTCAGCATAAGGGAGTCAATATCAGAGGCAGGGTGTGGATGCTGCACCCTAAAAGGTAGAGGCTTATCTCAGGAGTTTTAAGCCATCATAATTAAAGAGCTGGAATCCTTTCTTTTGCTCTTTTTTCTACGAGGTTATTCCACCATTTAAATTCATGATTTCTTGCTGCCTGTGTCGTCTTCATGATGGGTTCCATATCATAGACTAGAGGGTTGGTAGTCTAAAGGTTTTGTTAAAGATAAAAACTTTATTTCATCTAAAGTATGTATTGGGAAGAGTTTTCTTAGAGACGTAGAGACAGCCACTATCAAAATATGTGTGGATGAACCAGCCTCACATCTCCAGTGGAGAAAATGCTATTTTCTACTTTATAGAAACTTGGTTGGCTTTAGCCAGATTAATGTCCAGTACCATGGAGTTTCCTGAGACTCACAGGACTGTATCCCCTGCCTTACACATGAAGATAAATTAGCTAGGACTTGAAAGCATCCAGTTTGTCACTTAGTAGACATTTGGTTTCCTCCCTCCCACCCCCCCAAGCATATCTTACATCTCTTCAAATTATAATTAAATACATATCCCTGTGGTAAGATTCTAGATTCCTTAAGGCTATGGCTGTATTTACAGTAATGTCTGGAGATATTTTTGCTTGTCTCAATTGTCAACTGTCCTGATTGTACCATGTCATTAGTTAAACATTTTATAATGCATAACAGAAACACAAAGAATTATCCAACCCAACAAAATAGACAAGGTAGCAGTAGCAGAGCCCCATATAATGGGGACATTAGGAATTGTTTAAAATAATTTGAAATTCCTTTTTGGTACATAAATTTTATAATTTGCTATGAGGGTATGTGAAAATTAAATTAAAAATTTACATGATATAGGGAAATTCAGAAGATAGCAGAAGTTTATGTATCTTGATTAATTTAGGGGAACCAAATTTCCATTTGTATTTAGAGGTAACCAATTTAAAAGCTAAAGTTCTCTTAATCAGCAAGCTTTTGTAATGAAATGCAGCAGGATTTACTTTTACATCAAAGGAACTCCCCTGATAGTTAAAGAATGCAACCGAATACAATTAAAAGATCACTGGTAAGCAGAATACAGTGTGTGGCTTCATGTGGTACTGTTAATAACCTAGGATCTAGTGACACTTTAATGAGAAGCTTAAATTTATGGGGCCTCAGTCTCAGAATTTATCAACACTCTTTACCTAGATTTTTGTTTCAAAATAATAAAGTGATGAGTAAGAATCAAAAGGTCTGTAATAAGAAAAATGTTTTTAAAATAATTCAAATATATAATAAACTATTGATAAATCTATAACAATAGCCATAGGTGATAAAAGATTTATGTGGAGAAAGGGGAAGAGCTATTTGGCAAGTGCCCAGTGTGTTTTGGGCAGGTTTGGTGGTCTGGGGGTACCCCTTACCCTATCCACTCTAAGTGGATTCCATCATCTGACACATCAAGACAAACATATTCTAGTTCATAAGACCTTTAATGGGAACTTTAATGTAATTAGTGTGCCATAAAAAAAAAAAAAAGAGAAGGGAAGAAAGATAAAATACTTCTCACACAAAACACCAAGTTACCATCCCCAAATGTCCAGCCAAACAGGGTTGGCCCAAAGCAAGACCACAAGTCTTTGCCACATAGCTTGCCACAAGTCGAAGTCACCTCTAGAGGGTATCATAGGAAGGGACAGAGGTACCAGACAAGTCTGCAAGGAAAAGACCAATATCAAATTCAAGCTAAAAGCTGCCCTGGTTAATCTCCCCACAGGTCTCTCACCCACGTGTTTCAAATATCTCCTTTCATGTCCCCAAGTGCCTGGCACAAGGTCAAGGGCAAGAAATAAGCATGGCTTTTTCACATATCTTTCTGTTCTATATGCCTCCTCCAGATCTCCTTCTTGATCTCCTTTTTTCTTTCTTCTTTTTCTCAGCTAAGTCCTCTCTCCTACTCCCTGCTCAGCAACACCCCTCTGTAAAGTTCCTCTAATAGAATAAGGCAAGGAGACAGAAATAAGAGAGAGGAAGGTTTTATTGTGCTCCCAGGGGGGCAGGGGGGTCCAGGAAGTCGCCCAGTTTACAGGCTAGGGGTCTTTTATATGCCCGGTACTGTGGACCCTGGGGAGGTAGTGGAAAGGTGCCAGTGAGTCTTGCTGTCCTTTTGGTCAGCAGTAGCCTTTTGTTTAGGGTCTTTGATCCTTATCAGAGCAACTACCTAGGGGAAGGGAGCAGCAATCTGGGGCAATTCATCCTGAAGCCCACTCATCTTGATACCACTGGATCCTTTTATCACTCTGGGGGCTGGGGTGGCCTTTCACCTTCCTTGGGTGGGGCTGGGAACCTGTAACTTCCACTTTTTCTGGGGACCACCCTGTTACAAGTGAACTTACCACACCGTAAGCCCCTTAACCTAACCAAAATCAGACTGGTACAGTACAATAGTATCTACTGTAAGAATAATTCCCATAACCTGATGGTTTTGACAGGATAAAAATAAGGATTTTATTGCCCCAAAAATATGTAATTTAAAGATAGCAATGGCAATTTGATTATTTTTTAAAAGTAATATGAAAAAGAAAACCTACTCTGCTGATATGGCCTTAGTGTTGCTCTTATTTGTCTCTCTAGTGTGAGCTCTGGTTTGGAAACTGCATCCAACTATATTCACATTGGACTGGGAGAACATATTTCCTCTCATCCAAGATCTGAAGCAAAGGCCCTTGCAGAATATTTGTGCAGGTCTTCCCCACCCATTCCTCTCCTGAGTGTGGGCACTGATGCTGTACTAGGTTAACTACTATTTTGTGGCATGTCACTTCTCCGTGGGCGACAACTATTGTAGAATCTGCCAGAACATGCTTTTCCTCTCAATCCTGAATTAGAGATTTTTTCAAGTGCCTTTTTTTTAGACTGCTTTTGTCTCCAAATAGTTGCATGCTCATTAGATACCTATCAGGGTACTCTCTGATTTAAAATGTTCCATTCACATCTTCTAGAAATATAACTGTCAGCTAACAAAAACAATTTCATTAGGCTTATCACAGCTGCTCCCTTTTGCCTTGTGCTTTAGCTTCCTGGCTGAAGACTGAAGCCTTCTAGAATGTTCCCTTCTCCACACCAAATATTGTGTAGGGTCAGTACTCTGCCAAATGAGTGCCTGTCAGAAATGTTGTGAATAATCTTCATCACTCTCCTAAGGACATACCTGTAAGGGTTTTCCCAAACTGAATTATATTTAGGGAAAAAACAGTTCCCTCTTAACAGGAATTGTATGTACTCTCTTCCACAGTTGCTCATTAATTTAATGAAATAAATATAATGGAATACAAAATCACACAATTTGGGGGATATTTAGGAAGGGACTTTGCATATGCTTTTACATATCCCTCTTTACATATACTTTCAATGAAACGATTTCCTTGGCAAGATTTCCTTGGCAACAGAATTTGCGTCAGAATGGATGATGTCATGCATATAATACCAATACAACACACTGTGACACCTTGGCTTACTGGTGTGATCCCCTTACTTCTCTTCAGTGTCATTGTAATTATGCTTGCTGAGCATGAGTTTGTGTTATCAGTCTAGGGATTTTCTGACTTACAAAATAGTCATGCAACAAAACCTCAGAATATTTTCCCTCCAAAATATTTTTCTGATATTGACAGTCCAATTTTAGAAGCTTAGGCTACTGAAAAGTAAGCCAGAAGTTGATTGGCATAAATGCAAATGTTAATCCATTAATGAACAGCTATAATTTTTTTTCCTGTCCCAAAAATAACATTTTAAATTGCCTAGCAATTAACAAATCTTACACATAAAAGCAGGTCGGAGTAAAAAGAGTAGTCTATTTTCTTTTCAAAGCAGACATGGCTCGAATCAGGAATCCACACTGTAGTGTAACTCCAGTCCAGTGAATCTTTGGGGAACACTGAATCTGGTGTAAACTACCTGTCTGAAAAACCACTCCCCAGTGAGGTCCAGTACGGTTGCCTTTGCCTTAAGTCTAAAGCATCTTTGTTTTGTTTCAGTTGGCAGGGTTCATCTATGCCTGTTATGTTGTGAAATGTATAACTGAAGAAGAGGACAGCTGTAAGTATTAAAGCTCTATTCTGTTTCTTTCAAGTTCAAAGCATCTTCTTTTCTGCCCTTGCCTAGCCTTACTACTTCTCAGACAATGTCCCCAACGCATCATTAGAACAGGGAATAAGTCTTTTGTACCATCTGGCTAAATTTTTTCATGAAAGTGTCCAATATACTGAAGAAATGGAGAAGCATTCATTTCAAAAACTTTTTTCTCCTTTATCGAAAGGTATTTTTACAGTCTATTCCTCTTTTAACAGTTTCAGCAGAGAACACAGAGGAGAGATTAGAAATGCAAAAATGATTGTCAAATTTGGTTAACTTGACTGTTTTCTTTTACAAAATATTTATTGACTATTGTAACTAGTTAGTTTGAGCCAGAACTACAAATCTGGCTATTTGAAATAGCCAAAGGGATAGCTTTGCAATAGACAAAGAGATTAATTCAAGAAATTTGAAAAACCAGATGTTCATATTTCCTTTCTGTTCCTTCAAATGGATACAAATGCCTAACATTCTGTGTCAGTCTCAGCATTGATTTTTATTTTAATTAATTCATTTATTCATACAGAATTGAGGTACAAGCCAGAGGTGCAGGGGTGGTGAGAAGCTTCACCAGACAGATCAAGCAAGTACACTGCTGAGGGGAGCAGCAGGCGGCTCAGGAGAGGTCTGCCAGGCCTTATAGATCACTTCAGGGCGGGGATCGAACTCTCACTGAAGTGGCTGCAGCCAGCCTGCAGTGGTGTGTCCTGTTGTGCCACCAGGGAAGGCTCTCAGTATTGAATTTTACTGCATGATTGAATGGTGACTAGGTGGTACCCTTGTACCTAGAGAACTATAAGTGGTGCCATCATCCTCTGCTCTTCTAGTAATGGCAGGTAGAAGATCTTTCTTTTCCCTCGCCACCTAAGTATCTTAACAGGAGGACTGAATAAATTACATCTATTCTCTCTCTGTACTATCAGGAGTACTTGCCCATGCAGCTTTGTTAATATTTATTTTGATGAAAAATCAACATTAGATATCATTTTCATGGTTTCCAAATATATAGTGACTGGGTTTTGAGAAAAGGGATGGCTAGTTGAAAAGGCAAGTGTCAGTTTATCTGTTATAGGATTATTTGCAGAAGGTATCCAAAGAAATATGTTGCTTTTTTACTCTCACTTTCTAATCACATGCAAAAAGACAAGGGAATATCAGTTAACTAATTTGGAAGAGGCACTTTTAAATTATGCTAACACATGATATAAAATCAGGAATATATATTACTTATTAAGTATCTAAAAGCAAATGGTTGCACTCTCACTAAATAAGCATCTGTAAAACACTCCTCAAAGCATCCAGTGTTGTGTCAGATTTTGGAGTTTTTCAATTGAGTAATATATGATCTTTTACTTCTAGGAGCTTGTCATCCAGTAGGGAAAAACTAACAAATAAGTATAATAAACCCTGCAGAATGTATAATGGGAAGAGATGAGATCAGGAAAAGCTTTCACATCGAAGGACACTTTTGAGCTTGATCTTGAAAGATGAATACGCTGGGTAGCTGATGTGGAAGTAGATGATCCCAGGCAAAGGTGAAAAAGCACCAAAGCGTAGCACAGCCTGACTGGCTGGGGACAAGCCACTAGATTAATAGCGCCTGATTTCATTGTGCCTGAGGCAGCACTCAGAGAAGATTGAAGAGCATGAATGAAAAAAGTAGTAAAATGGTTATGACAGAGTAAAGAGTTTGAACTTCATTTTGTAAAGCACGATGGCTAATGAGTTGTCAGGCAATTAATAAAAGAATGGCTTCATCAAAAATGGTATTGGTACAGGGGAGGGAAAGCTTAGAGAATGGAAGACTAGTGAGGACATCATGAAAATGACTGAGATAGGATAGAAGGGAAGGATTTAGAATGGTATTGGAGATGGAGAGGGTGTGTATGTGTGTGTGTGTGTGTGTGTGTGTGTGTGTACGAATTAATGAATGGAATGATTAATGGGCTATAGATGGATACTACATAAGGACAAGAAATAGATGGTAGATTTCTAGGTTTCTAGAATGAGTGAAAGAATAGAAGGAAAATGGGGTTTGAAAGGATGGGCATTCAACAATTGGTTCAGTCTGAGAAATTGCATTTGAGGTACCTAATGAATATATGAGAAGATATCTAGTGAGTATTTGTCTTAAACACAGCATATTTATCCAAAGCTTAGTAAATGTAGATACTACATGGATTTTAAGATGTGAGGTGATGTAAGTTCATTCATATATTACCATCCAATTTATTTTGCTAAATTCAGATGAAAGCAAAGTCTCCAGGTGAAATTTCATGTGGGAGTTGAACTTTCCCTAGACTATAATGTTTGAGTTCATTTCAGAGTGATGCCAGTGTATTTTGATCTTCAGAAAATACTGACATACCAAGTCTCCCAAACATATAATCAGTATCTCTCTCGAAGAGTATGTTCCAAAGGGGATCCCAGAAATGCTAATTCCATAAAGTATACAGCTCAAAAAAGACACCAAAGACAAGTATGTTTGACACCCAAAACTTAGAATGTACATATTAACACCTCTGAGAGTACTGAGTAAAGATGTTCCCTTTGTCCCTAAGCCAAACTTTGTTTTAACAATATTATGTTAAGTGAAGTATGGTGAGGGTAACAGAAGATCAAGTAGAGAAGCCATAAAGATTTTACGGTTCTCATAATTCCCTGGGAGAATCTAGGCTACTCAGGTGAAGCACCAAAGTTGGGGGTGGGGGAGTGGAGATTGAGAGAGAGCAGAACTGTGGTAAACTATGGCTTCCATTGAAAGCAATAGTCATGGCAAGGGCATGGGATTGGCTCATTCAGCTTGCACATGGCATCCTGTGAAATTCGAGTTCACTAGAACTGTCAGAAGATGTGCTGTGAGGCCATCTAAATCCTCAGACATTATGGGTGAGACTGAGTTTCCTTGGAATACCAGTGGTCATTTTGTGAAAGTGACAGAAATTTAAATATGGTTAATGTAAGTTTCCCAAATACTTCAACAAAAACTTTTTCCCTAAGAAGGTTTATTATTTCAAAGAATGAGAATTTTAGGGACTTATTTTAAAGAAAATATGCCTAGAACAAGTTTTTGGACAAAATCCATGTAAATGCCAGGGGATTTGAAGTCACAAATACCTTTTGGATATTTCAAGCATCTAATAAATTTTCCAAAGACTCATAAAATAATGCATTTGCCTTCACATGTATTTGAGCCTCGGTCCCTATCTTTCTTTATTTATCAAAATAACAAGCAGAGTGCACAGAGACATGTTTTCTAATTTTAGTCTTTTTGCTCATGGGCAAGATATGAACTACTTTTTAAAATTTTATATCCAAGTAGATGGATGGTTTCCTTAGTCATTCATGGGATGAGTAAGCAGCTGGCCTGTTCTCTGTCCAGTGGCCTTGGGTGACTTCCATTTAGCTTCATTTACTTATTTACTTGTTTTGATACTTCACTTCTCATATACTTGTTCATCACACACAACAGACAATTATGAGTGAATTATCTTTGTCCTGGTGACTTTACGATATGTTCACCTCCAGACCCAGCATGGGACATATGACTTCCAATGTTCAAGAGTCAAAAAGGTTTGAAATTTCTCTCTAATTCTTTGGTGATTTATCATTTAAAAGCATTCTGACAAGTTATAGTTAAAAAAATAATAATAATAAAACTGCTCTCAGAAAGCAAGCCCCAGAGCATGGGAGAGAACGTGTTGGTCAGCACACAGGAATCTCCGTATCTACCTTCCCTGTGATGGATTCACATGAAGCATCCTGATTGGAATGGAAGATGGTGATGGCTCCATATGCTTGGCAACCTCCCTGGCATATTAAGTTTCCTCTCCTAAGAGCCTGGTGAAGAACACTGAAGATTTTGGTTCTGTAACTGTGCTGAGGATGAACTGTGGAAATAAGGCCAATTATGGCAACTGGAAGATTAAGGTTTACCTGAGGCCAGTGTGACTCTCACCAGCTATGTACTCAGTTTTGATACTACACTTCTCAGCTGCAAGTGTATCCAGGGATCTTTGGAGGCAGAAGTGTCCAGAGAGCTATTAAAAGGATTCAAGTTCTTGATCAGAGATGCCGCAAAATAGCAATAAATCATAGTTCAGCTATGGGAGTTTTCCGCAGGCACAGCAAAGGTCTGAAAAGCTTTTTTTATTTCCCTTATTTCACCTTATAAACAGTATTTGTTTACTTTTATAGAGCTGAGTTTGATTAGTACTTAGAACTGTACTGCAAAGTTATGGGTCTCCTCCAGTGAAAAAGCTGGGACCTTGAAGTATACATTTCTGACCCTTTAGTTACCTCAGCGGGAGCCAGCCCGACAGGCTGGCCAACTGTGCCAACTCACAGGGTTCCACTGCCCTCTGCTGTGCCTACCAGGAGAAAACACCAATCCTCCCAGCTCAGCTGCCAAACAAGGAGACACACCCCTACCCCTGGGTAGGACTCAGTGAGTTGCCTAGGGAAGCAATAAAAAAAATAATAATAACTTTTAAAAACACAGGTTACAGAGACTTAAGCAATGGAAGTTGCTACAGTTCTCAGTCTGGAGGCTAGAATTCCAGGATCAAGATGCTGACAGGTTGGGTTGCCTCTGAGCCTCTCTCCTTACCTTTGCAGATGGCTGTCACTACATGTCCCTTCTCTCACTCCCATGACTCTTCATCTTCCTAGGACGCCAATCCTGTTGAACAAGGGCCCCATCTTCATGACCTCACTTAATCTTAATTCTCACTTTTATTTTTTTTAATTATTGATACAAAAAATTACAGGTGTGCACCATTACAAATCACCATTTGTATATAGTACATCCAATTGCTCTTAAAGGCCCTATGTCCAAATAAAACTACACTGGAGATTAAGCCTACAACATATAAATTTGTCAAAGAGACACAATTCATTCCATAACATTCCATACCAAGGTGCACTCACATGCACGCGCACACACACACACACACACCATGTAG